GCAACCATGGGAAGCATATAGACACATCATTCAGTCAACATCTTTTTAGACATGCTTTCTGGAGCCGCGTCGGATGATGGCGCCCGCCAGGTCCTAAGAATCTACTCTGTGAAAAGAATGTTGTGAACAATTTGCTGAACAATGGATTTCGAACATTTTGAGATTGTGCTATTTGCTTATCACCCTAAGAGGCTTCCCAGCCTAAGAGGCTTCCCAGCCTAAGAGGCTTCCCAGCCTCACCTCACGCGTAAGGCCTCACTTCTGCAGCTCCAGGCGCGGCACCTGCAGAGGGTCAGGGATCAAGTGAGTGAAGTGGGAACCTCTGGGTCTCCGGGGAAGGGATAAGGGTGTAACATCGGCACTGATGCGGAAGCACATTCTTTCAACTCTGGCGCTCCACTGTTGGGAGTTAGTAGATCTTGCCTTTGCGGCCAGCAAGAATTTGAGCACGAAGCTCACTTTCCATCCAAGCCAGCTCAGCCTTCTTTTTGGCATCTGCCGACTGAGATTCATCAGAGGCATGCCACTCAAGCCATTGGGAAATGAACTTGGAACGAACTTTCCGCATGTCACCATCCAATGCCATGTTCATCAACTCCTGGTTTGGCTGAAAGGGAGGCTTCTCATCACCCTTTGCGTTGCCATCATCATGAACAGCAGCAGCCTGCGCAACCTGGTTGGTTGCTGGATCATCTTGTCCTTCATCTTGTTCTGCGTCCTTGGGAACACCCTTGCTCGACCACTTCTGGTGCCAAAGCTTGCTCTTTGCCCTGTTGGCTTCTCGACGCCTCTCCATCTCCTGTTCTTTGCTGTTTGGTGTCATGTCCTTCAAGAACTTGCGTTTCTTTTGTCCGGCCTCTGATGACTGGGCGTTGGGATCAAGCTCGGGCTTCTGGTCCACCTCTTCAATGGGCGTCGGCTTCGTCGGCTTCTTGGTGGGAAGACACTTTGGCTTCGGCCCCTTTTCAGTGGGCCGAGGCTCATTGATGGGATCAAGCTTTGGCTCTTCAGTGGGCTTCGGCTCATTGATGGGATCAAGCTTTGGCTCTTCAGTGGGCTTTGGCTCATTGATGGGACCAAGCTTTGGCTCTTCAATGGGCTTCGGCTCATGGATGGGATCACGCTGTCCAACCACAGAGTCAGAGGCTCCCTGACTAACATCCCACACCTCTGGATTGTACTGTTCAGGGGGAAAGGATGCAGCTAGCAATGGCTCTTCAATGGGTTCCGGCTCCTGGATGGGATCAAAATCTGACTCTTTGGTGGGGTCAAGCTGTGAGTCCTCCATGGTGTCATCCCCTGTGCCCATGAAGACGGTAGATGGACGACGTTCATATGGATCATGGGGCGGGCCATGTCCTTGTTCTGGCACACTGGGAAAGAGACTTCGCTGAGCGAGATCATATGCTTGGCGCCTCTCCTGAGGGAAAGCTAGGTCATGTTGATGTATGGTATATTGACGAAGCAAACCATAATCCATTAAAAAACATGAATTTCTCCCATTGAGGCCTCAGCTGTATGCAGTGTAGGTGTAAAGAGCTGCCTGGCGTTTTCTGGACTTTGGAAAAAACTCTTCACTCACTGGTTCACCGGGCTGTGCAAGTCGGCTTCCAAAGCCAAATGTTGGAGCAACATCGTGCATGATAGGCACCACAGCATCCGCAGCGATGGAATGGAAACCTTGACCACCCGTAGGCGTAGGCTCCGTGAACTCCACTTCATCTTCAACCCACACAGGTTCCATGGGCTTCCCAGCCAGTGAAAGAAAGGCGTGGATGTGCGAATCTGAACCAAAACCTTCAACCAACTCAATCCCTTTTGTGAGACAATGCATCACATTAGTTTTCCAAACCTTCTTTCCCCAGTCAATGATGACACTCACTAAAGTTAGAAATAGTTGGACGAACGCTTCAGGAATCAATCTCTGGTTTTCTCCTCCTCGTTCATCGCAAGGTTCGCCGAGACGCTACTGGAGCGAGGGAAATGTGTGCTTCCCAGCACGCCAGCAGGTTGAAGTTGAAGTGAAGTCAAAACCATGAGAGTACCGCTGACTCTCCCCTAGAAGATGCTAGCTGATGGCGGGATCATGTGTAAGCAAAGCATTGAGAGATGAGACTATCAATCAAAAGTTGTTTTTTCATGAAGCACAAGTAAACGCAGAACGAAGACACACACCCGCCATGCTGCAGTGGCTAGTTCACACCACCCTTTGCACAGTACCCTTTGCCATGTCCAAGGTGTGGCGAAGGAACCACATTGGCTTGGCCGGGCCCAGCGTCTTTTGAGGCCTGTACGCCCGCACTCGCCAAACCTGGAGGGGAGGGGGGTGATTAGAACGGCTGGGAAGCCAAAAACATTTGAATGGCTGGGAAGCCAATGGCTGGGAAGCCAAAAAGCATTCAGAATGGCTGGGAAGCCAGAAACATTTCGAATGGGTGGGGAGAGCGCCAACATGTAGAATGGCTGGGAAGCCTGTGTCACTATAGTGGATGTTTTTGAGATTCACGAATGGTTAAACAATACCTGATTTAGTTTTTTGAGAATTGCGGGAACCAAAATGATTTTGCATCACGAATGATTTTGCTACCCCACGCCTTCTTCAACGCTGGCGAAGAATCCAAGCAGCTTGACAAGAAGAAGCTTGCAGCATTGGTCGCCCGCAAGCCTGAGACCTGGAGGTTGTTGGGCCTCCAGACCATGCTGCTACCTGCCTTGATGGAAACATCAAACCTCGGGCGCATACGCGACACCAACCATCGTACACATATTGTTGTGGACTAATACGAAGCACTACGAAACTAAGGGGCTTAAAGATAAAAAGAAACGATTTTATTAAGGCAAGGAACTTGTCAGCAGACAACCCTTGGACCACTGCTGCCGGCCTCGAAAACGTATGGCCGCCAAGCTCAAAATCGACCATCCCGGTCGCTTCGCACTGCTGAAGGACACTTCGAAGTGACTTCAGATCGCTATCATGACCGTTCTCCTGACAATCACAAAATAGAGCTGAGCGCACATGAGCCACACATGCATTGACCCAGAGGTTGAACAACATTGCAACTAGGCAAAAAATGGTTTCAAACACCCCTCCTCGAGCACAACTGGATCCAAGTCAGAGCTGAAGCTGCAGACAACGCCTTTGTGACCATGCTCTGAGTTTTCAGAGATGAAGGTCTCAGCCTTGTTGTCCAACAACCATACACCCGCCCCATATGTCAAGAATGGATCCGTTGTATTCAACGTGTAAGGCTCATTCGCTTCAATGAAAAGCTTGAACTTCTTGGGCGCCTCAGCATCCGCAGATGAATCCTCCGACTCCTTGACAATGTACGCGGTCAACTCTGGGCACCACGTGAACTTGCCATGGACCAAAGCATCATACTTGGCGTGCCACTTCTCCGTCTCCTGAGGCTCATCAACAAAGGCGCCTGCCCAGTCAAAGGGAGCGCCCTGAGGACCGGCATCAGCACTGTCGCCACCCCCAGTTTCGGCCTCGGGCTCTGCAGCGTTCCCTGCTGCTGTGCCAAAGCACCTGTCGAACTCCTGGAGCATCTTGCGCCACTCGGGGCTTCGGATTGGATCTGTGAGGAACTCGGCCCTGATATTGCGAGGAAGACACAAAGCGCCGTCCACCAAAGAGCAGAGCAACAAGTTCGGTTCCTTCGGGTCAGATGGCAACGTTTCCGGGTTGGGCTCAGCAATGAAGCGAGGCAAAGCGTTTTCCATCACACCCTCATGCTTTTTCCAAAGCTCTAGGAGATAGCTCTTGGTGATCTTCAAGGCCATCGTGAACGGGTGCTGCTTCTCCGTTTGCGAGACACATGGAATAGCATGCTTCACGCAGGTCTTTTCCAAGCATCCGTCATACATGGTGGCGTTCACCACCATCACGGGCTGAATCTCACCGTTGGCACCTCAAAGTAGTAGTCTAATGCACGAGAGAAAGCAACAGTAAGCGACACTTGGGCGGAGACGGGCCACAGAAACACGCTGAAAACATAAATTTGCTCATGGGCGTTACTGAATAATTCCAAGTGGCCTGTAAGCAAATCGGCAAGGATGTGCTCAGGCACAGAATCACCACCAAGCCATTGTGCCGTTTCTTGAGCATCGGTGTAGTTCCTGCGGCCTTCTGCACTGGAGGACACAATGCCCTGGCCTGGAATCACAAAGTGACTCTCCTCGAGAGCACAAACGCTGGAAGACACCATTTGGTTCTGCCACAGCTTTGAGAAGCAAAAGACATTGACATCAGACTTGTCCACCTTGGGACGACGATGTGATGGCATTCTTTTGAAAGCAACTACGTTACTTTAATTTAACATCCATCAGTTGGCTTAACATCATGTGTTTTTACTCGTGGTAGGTTTTCCGTTTTCATGCATTCTTTTGAACCCATTGCCTTGCCAACTCCCCTGTTGGCTCTGTGCGCGGTGCCCTGGCTTGGTAGGCACATGTCAGCAACGCACAGGTAGAAGACAAATCCTCCCGGCATGGAGCGGTTGTGATGCAATCCAGAGATGTCCAAGGGCATAAAGAACTGGCGAAACTCGATCTTGTGATCATTCAGCTTGTCCTCCAGCCTCCTTGGGCGCCATCCGCTATCACAACGAGAGGCTGAAAGGACACTGGACCTGACCTTTTGTGTGTAAAATCCTTTCGAGCTCGACTCTCCTGGCACAAACAACGTGTTTCAAAAAGGTTGGAAAGTGAAAAGTCGAGTTTCCGAACATCAGTGCGAAGCGCTCCACATCCAAGGGCTGATGCCAAAAGCGGAAGGGCCATCACAATACAGGTACCTGAATTTCCATAAAGGCACAAAAGAAAAGTGAATTCCACGGAGTCTGAGTCTTAGTTCAAAACAATTGAATATAGACGTGAGGTTGGTCTCAGCCGTCAAGTCAAGTGGCTTTGCGGATTCTTTGCAATGAGCTTCTCACACCATTGGCCAACCTTGGTCACATCCTTTTGGGTGATGATGCCAATCTTGGTCAAGTCGACCCAGCCAACCACATGGACCTTCTCCATGGTAACCTGCAGGGAACAAACATCACTTCCTCAATGAACAATTCAATGCTTTTCAGGACATGCCTTGAACATCCTTGAGCCAAACCAACCCCAGCCTGATTGCGAGCACCAGTCGCCCGGAGCATGGTGTCCACTTCCGCTGGCATTGCCCACTCGGGCACCAGCCCCATCCAGCAACGGTTCTGCATGAACTCTTCAACCACCCTTACCAGGAATTGGAGGCTGAACGTGCTAGGGACATAACGCATGAATAGGCTCAAGGGAAAGACAAAATTCCAAATTGTTCATAGAAAAACGTGTCATAAGGCTGAAGTGAAGTAACTTGGCGCCGGCCTCATTCTGAGCCTTCTGGTGCAAGACCTTCGCAACGTGTTGCTTCCCAGCAACCTGCGTCTTCTCGGCGTTGAACGTGTTCATCGCCTTGCAGTCAGATGCGAGCTTGACCTTGATCTCACTGAATTTCGAAGCGGCTGCTTGCTCCTGGGCTGCCAGGAGGTCAGTGGATTCTTCTCCCTGCAGGCAAGAGGGTAGAGTTGGAGGTTCCACCAAATCTGTCCAAACGATGAGCGACTTGAGCTGAAAGGAGGGGTTCTTCGAAGCCACCACGGCCTCCACGTCCTGAAAATAGTCCCTGCACGTGCGCGAGAACACACAAGAAGCGCAAGAAGAGGCCAACAATATCCAACAAGTTTTAAATGAGAACATCATTGAATTGAATTGACAACAAAACATTCATGCAAATTGAATCAGCAGTGAACTGTCACATGGAATGAGAAGCAGGACAGGAATAATACTGAATTGCAAGGCGCCTGGCCAAAAAAGCTTCCATCAGCTTGCCATCGACCTTGGAATCGGATGTTGCCTTCTTGGCGCTCTCCCTCAGGTATGCAAACATGCAACTATAGTCCACCATCTTGTCGAACTCCTCGGGAGAAGCACGCGCCCGGGCGCGTTGAGAAGGCTTCGTCCTCCGAGTGGCCTGTAGGAAGCGCTTCACATGGAGCTGCATCAGCATTGACTGGGATTCCGCCGTGACCGTGAGCGCGTCCTGCAGACACTCCGGCAATCCCTTGGGGCGCGCGCCCAACAACCATCGCGAACCCTTCAACAGGTCCGTGCTCAGGGCGCTTTCACGCCATTTGACAAAGGCAAGATGCTGAGACATGATGTCTCGTGTCTCCTGCCAGGAATGATCAACCAATAAGTGATTGGGCATTGGACCAGGATTGAGTTCTAATTTCTGATGACTTTATCAAAGCTCAATCAGTCTACTACATGAGCCGTTCTATGTCCTTGCATGTTCCAATAATCAGATTCAGAATGGATCGTTCTTTGTCTGCATCAATCTGATGACGAACGTGAAGACCCTCACTGCTGTTGAACTGCTTGATGACCTTCTTCAACCGAGTTTCAGTATTGCCAGATGTAGCGCTGCCTTGTCTGTCCATGATCTGCGAGAAGCGAAGGGCCATTTGAAGAACTGATGGGGCTTGACGCTCAGCGCCACGGAAGGAGAGGGACATGTTCCTGAAGGATTGTTGATCCTTGTTCATACCGATAGCCACCTTAAGACAGATACAATGGCACAGACACGAACCATCGGTAACCCCCTGACCAAAAAAATGTTAAAATTGCTTCCCTTCCAGCCAGCCCGCAGCACCCCCAAACCACATATTCCGGACCAGGGGCGTGCATGGGCAACAGCCAAGCTTTGTCCAAAACCCGCTCCAAGGGCTTGACCAAGGCCTTCGTCGACTCCTCGCTAGGGTCCAGCTCCGTCACTGCCAGCATGATGAACACTACGCACGTGGCCCGCGTCCAACCCTTGACAATGTCCACAGAGAACTTCGAGATGGGCATTTCCCCTGAGCCTGAGATGTCAGTGCAATGCACAAAAAAACAAAAACATTCATCCGCATCATTCAGCAGCAGCATCACTCATTATTATTCGTGAAGCATTTATACATATTTATACTACACATCATGGTCACCGAGTCACCCTGACATGGTTTGCAAACCTCCCACCGGCGTTGCACACACTTCTGACACAGAATCACAGAAAAATCAAAGCAGGTTGAAATGACAGACGGCTCGACGACCTGATTCTGATAAAGCATCGTACGTCTAATTTTACAAATTTAGATTAGATTCTGATGGTGAAACTTACGTTTGCGCCAAATTCTTTTACCACATTGGCGCGCAGCCACGGTGTGAACCCTATAGTACATTGTCACCACCATCACATGGCCGGCGGCGATGACAAGTCCACCTTTTGTGGTTCTCCAGGTGCCGCCGCCGGAGGTGCCGCCGCCGCTGCCTTTGGCTTTTGCTCACCCAATGCCGATGCCCTCATCGTCAGCTGATTGGCCCATTCTTCTGCCTCCTCCATGGACATGTCCGTGCGCAAACGTGGCCACTTTGCGGCCTCTGCATCACGGCCGCTGCTTCCACGTCCAGAGCCCCAAGGCGCATCATGGTAGCCCCCATACCAGTCACTGCTGGAACTCCAGGACCACGACTGCCATTGATCTTCCCAACGTTTATCCACCCAGCGCCATTCGCCAGTGCGACTGTTCTTCTCGAACTCACCTCAAATGAAATTTGGATCAGTGGTTATGCCGGGTAAACGATATCAAATTGTCATGTCATAATGATTGATGAATTGTTGTTTCACATTGACGAACGGAAAGTTATGGTTTTGCATGGCTTGATACAAACGGAACATAGGCAAACTAAGTTTGCTTCCCAGCCCTTGGATAAGCTAACAGAATCATACATGCAGCCAGGGTGCCTTCTGTTGAATTTGCATCAACCCCAACAGAATGTTGTTTGCACTGTCGCCACGACTGCATCCAATCTTGAAAGCTTTTTCCTTGGCCTTTGGCCGTGGTTTGATACATGAAACGTAGTATGTCACGATGGTCTCTGCTCTGTACTTGCGCTTGGGTTTCACGACTTGCAGCGGGTTGAGAGGGAGAAGCGGGGGCTGCGGCCATGGGCGGGACACTGCGACAAAAATTGACACTCAGCTTTAAGCTGATTACTTTTGAGCCCACATCACTTTCAATCATATAATCGGTGGTTCAATGATTGGTCATTCACAATTAACTCATCCAAACCCCGTATGATCTACTCTTTCATGGCAGGCCAAACCCCGTATGATCTCCTATTTTATGGCAGGCATCATCTTCATCCACATCACACCCATGTGCTGCCGAAGGAACCATTTGTGTTTGCGTGTGGGGCCTCAGGACACGGAGAGATGCAGTGATACAATGCACTGTCCAAGGCTCACATGTGACATCCAATTTCAATCAAACTCCATTTCAATGACACACAGTAGAAAACAACGTGTCATTGCATTCAATTTAAAGATTTGTGGTTTCAAGGCTTGACTTGCAACTCGGGGCCCCGACACAAACGTCCAAAGGCTCCCTTTGCAGCTCCAGTCCATCCAGTAGGATCGACGTGCATGTCGTCACCCAGTCTTCGATGGAGGGCAAGCCATCTTCAGGAACATCAAACCTGATATTTGCACATGCAGGCCACTGACCATATTCAACATGTTCAACACACACAGGTTTCATGGGTGGTCATACCGTCTTTGATACATATTAAGTCAGGTGGCTTCAAAGATGTCAAGGGCAACTTGATCGTGTCCTCAAGGTTTGAGGGGTCAACCACCTGGGCCAACGCGAATGCAAGTGGGTGACTGGACTTTGGGCTTGTGGATCGAGGTGATACCCTTATCTCACAGAGTGTCAATCATTGGGCTTGTGGAGGTTTCCTTTCTCAAAGAAAGACAAAAACTAAGCCCTGAACACAGGAGCTCATGGGAGCGAAAGCCTTTTCCTTGATTCCACGGTGCTCGGCGTAAGCCTCAAACCAATTCTCCATTTGAATTGAAAATTGGTGACCATGGGGACCACACACAGCATCCAGGGCGTCTTGCACCGGGTGTAAGCAATCCAGATTCGTCCCGTCGGTCATGAATTGGGTGAGGTGGTCCACAATCTCCTGGATCAAGACAATACCGGTCTGTTTCACAATTCCTCAACTTGGTACTCATGTTCTTCCAAATCCTTTGGGGGGACTGACTGTGATCCACAAAAACATGGAAGTCCTTGACCAACGTTGTGTCACCCTTCATGTCTTTGATCTTCTTGTCCATTTCAGTGGCAAGCCTCTTGGAAGGAGACGGAGTCGCAGAGCTGGGTTCAACCTTGACCTCGCCTTCAGGCTTCAGCTTTGCGCTCGCGGCCGTCAACATCTTGCAAAGCGCAGGCATGGCCAAGCAAGCAAATGGGAAAGAGGCAATCCCTGCCAAAGGGTAGAGCAATCCCAGCTCTTGAGAAGAACTGACGTCACATGAAACGTGCCGTCCAATGATAGTGCATTGATGAGACTTTCAAAATGTCAAAGCTTCATCAACCGACCTGGCGCCCCCATGTCCATTGAAAACCTCTATATGGCAGGGGCCGATGTTGATGCCCAAAATTTGACTCAACAAGTTGATCAATGCCACCCCCCCCATAGGCTAGTCATTTCAATGTACATGGCGGCCCCAGGTACATTGATGATAACTCTTCAGAAAAACAGATTCATCAATGGACAAAAAAGGATTGGCCGGACAAGTGCTCTTCAGCAACCCCATTCATCAACGTACATGGCGCCTCCAGGTACATCGATGAAGCCCGGTTCAGGCCTCAAATCGAGCAAGGTACATCGATGAACCCCGGTTCAAGCCTGAAATCGAGCAAGGTGCATCGATGAACCTGATCCCAAAAGTACAT